GAGTCGGACATGGTCCAGGTTCGACTATTAGTTTTTAGGAGGGGGGGGGGGGGATCGAGGGTGGAGGCGGCGATGGCGACGGAGGGAGTGGGGTTGGCGGCGGTGATGGCGACGGAGGATTGGGGGGTTGGCTGGGGAGGCGACGGCGGCGGAGAAGGCGGAGGTGGGCTTGGTGGGGTGGACTGGGCGGTGGAGGGCTGGGAGGAGGCGGCGAGGGTGTTGGTGGAGAGGGGGGTTGGAGATGGGGCTGGGGGGCTGGGTGGCGGTGGGCTCGGAGGAGGCGGAGAAGGCAGCGGAGGCGACGGTGGTGGCGGGCTGGGTGGGGGAGGGGTTGGCGGAGGGGGAGACAGCGGCCTCGGGCTTGAGCAGTCCGCGCAGCGCGAAATGCGGGGAGATAGGAGGAGATATGGGGAGATACGGGGGAGATACGGGGAGTCATGGGCCTCGCGCTTGAAGCCCGCGCAGCGCGAGCTATGGGGAGATATGGGGAGATATGGGGGAGATATGGGGAGATGTGGGGCCTCGGGCTTGAGCAGCCCGCGCAGCGCGAGGGGCGAGTAGTAGACAGCGGTGACTGAGCCGCCTGCCGCCTCGACGGCCTGAATGCGGTGTGTGGCGGGAGTGTGAGTGTGCGTGTGTGTGTGTGTGTGCGTGTGTGTGTCTGTGTGTGTGAGTGTGCGTGCGTGTGTGTGTGTGTGTGTGTGTGTGTGTGTGTGTGTGTGTGTGTGTGGGTGCGTGCGTGCGTGCGTGCGTGCGCCTGCCATGGACGTGGCACGGTGTCGTGTCATGGACGTGCCGTGTCGTGGGCGTGTCGTGGACGTGTCGTGGACGTGTCGTGGACGTGTCGTGGACGTGTCGTGGACGTGCTGCGGCACTCGCCTGGATAGCGGGGGCCGAGAGCTGTTGCGCCTCGACGTGCAGTGGCACCTGCAGCTGCCCGCCGCCCCGGCCGAGCAGCTTGATCCCGGAGACGCCCTAGCGAGCGGAGGCGGCAGCGAGGTCACACGAGGCGGCAGCGAGGTCACACGAGGCGGCAGCGAGGGAGGCGGCGGCGGAGGAAGCAGGGGCGGAGGAGGCGGCGGCGGAGGGAGCAGTGGCGGGGGAGGCGGAGTCGGAGGAGGTGGGGGCGGAGGAGGCGTCTCTTGGGCCGCCAGGCTGGAGGGGGCGGTGGCGGTGGCTGTCAGCGAGGCGGCGCCCTTGCGCCGGGAGGCGGCGGTGGGTGGCGGGGGCTGTCGGGAAGGGGTTCGGGGTGGTCATCATGAATTGGCGGACTGGGTCGCTCGCTGTAGCGTCGGAGCCGTGCGAGAAGCAGATCGCACGTCCACATATCGGCCATGCCTCCCCCGTCCTTCGGCCGTATCTCGGCCGTGTCTCGGCTACCTCTCGCCGCGCGCAGCGTGATGAGGCGGTTGTCGAAGAGCGTCTTGACGGTGATGGGCGCGTCGGCGGCCGGCCGGTCGAGGCGGCCCGAGAGGACCCACGATTGGAGGTCCTGCAGGTTGACGCCGAGGTACTCCCGCTTCAGCCGGTAGAAGCCGCGCTTCGGGATCCGCTTCACGTCGCTCGTCTGGCCTCCGCTCTGCAGGAGGAAGCCCTTGTTGCCCGCGCGCGCCGCCATGCCCTTCATGCCGCGGCCGCTCTTCCGCCCGCGCCCCGACCCGACGCCGCGCCCGACGCGCGTCTTCTTGAGCCTCGCGCCGTAGTTGTCCCGTATCCTGTTGAGCGCGAGCGGCCCCAGCTCGGTCGGCGGCGCGTGCGCGAGCGGCGGCGGCGCGAGCGGCACGGCGGACGAGAGCGAGCGGAGCGACGATGGCCCGGCCCGCCCGAGCGCCGGCGCTCCCACACGGCAGCGCAGCGACGGCAGCGACAAACGTCGGAGGAGCATTTCGAGAGGGGAGAGGCCGTGGTCCGGGTGGGGGGGGGGTCCGGGGGCGTGAGGGTGTGAGCTGTGATCGTGTGTGAGCTCTCTCTGTCCTCTTGCCAACAACAGACCTATCACATCCCGGGGAGGAGTGGTCCGGGTGGGGGGGGGGGGGGGGGGGCGTCTGGGTGGGGGGGGTTGCGAGAGGGCGCTGGCTATTTTTTGTTTGAATCCCGGAGGCCGTTAGAACATGAATTGACGTTCCACGTGCCCGTCCACAGCCACGGACCAACGTGCTAGCCCAGCAGGCCGCTCCCACCGCCGCCCGCGGCGGAGGCAAGGCGGCAAAGGGTGGCAAGGGCGGCGGCAAGGGCGGACCGGTGGCAAGGGTGGTGACCGTGGCGCACCAGACCCGCTTTGCGCCGCCGCCCTCAACGCCCGATACTCGGTTAGAGCCGGCGGAGCGACGGCGGCAAACTAAGGTGCGGCCGCCGGCGACCTCATACGGTGTCGAGCGCCGCAGAGACGGCCCCGAGAGCCGCCACCAGGTGTGCCACGACCGCCGACGCGAGGCTCGTGGCGATGGATGCGCCAGAGCCGCTTTGCGCCGCCGCCCTCAACGCCCGATACTCGATCAGAGCCGGCGGAGCGACGGCGGCAGAGTTGCGGCCACCGGCGACCTTCCCCTCGACCACGCCGCCGACCCGTCGACAAGCACGCGTGGACTGCCATCGAGAAGAAGGAGAAGGAGGGCGGCGCATCCGGAGCCCGCGGGCGCGGCGTGGGCGGGCGCGGGCGCGGGCGGGCGCGCGGGAACCCCGCCAGCGGAGCCGACAATGCCTCTGGCGGCGCTGCAGGCGGCGCGCGGCGCGCCCCTCGCCGGTCTCCCGCACGCTCCTGAGGGCCGAGAGGGCCGAGAGGCGGGGTCGGTGACCCGGGGGCATGGGCGGTGCGGCCCGCGGCGCGCGCGGGCGCGTGGCAGCCCGTGAGTGCCGAGATCGGGTCCGTACTTCGACGTAGCATGGGCCCCCGGAGGCCCATCTACAGTAGCGGCGAAGTGAGCGTGTTTGTGGTGTTGGTGTGACGTCTGAGCTTGGATCTGTGACTAAAGCCGCTTACCACTGATGGATCCCCACCCGAATAACACACAGTGAGCGCCCCAGCACTTCACTACGCCCTCCGCGCGAAATCGCTAGTGGTGCTTTGTGGCAGCACATTGATCATTGTGCTTTGTGGCAGCACGGGTGCGGTGCCCGAGACCGTCGACCCTATCCAGTAGGTAGGTAGAAAGGTGAAGAACAGCCAGGCTCGGACTGGACACCAACGCGGTATGGGTGGACGCAAGACAGATGCCCCGCAAAGAGTGGGGCTCAATGAGCCCCGCGCCTCACTAGGGCTCACCGGGCTGCTCTAGCGCGCCCCTCGGCCGCGCAGGCGCCCTCTCGGGTGCCCCTGGGGCGCTGCATCGCTATCGACATGCCGCTGTGTGGCGCGCGATGCAAACCAGAGGCAGCGGCTTGAGCGCGACGCTCGACTCGGCCCCGTCGCGCGACCTCTCGGCGCGCTGTACACACGGGCCGCCTTTGCGAGGTGTGCCGCGGCCGTGGTGGTTACCTACTCCGCCTACACGCGCAGATCGACCAACGCTCGAGTCGACAGTCGCTCGGCCTAACCTGCTTTGCTCTTGCAGCAGCAGGATCGCTTGTCTCTCGCTGCGCGCCTCCGCTGCCTTCGCGCAAGCAATCGTACCAAGGTGAGCAATCGAGAATAGCTAGCATATCCCGCCCGTAGCGACACACTTCGGTGCCGCTCAGCGAGCACTCGGTCGCCACGACGAACACTGACTGACCCACATGGACATCGGTCCTGTGGTGGGCGAACTCTCCGGGGGAGTTTGCGGTGACGGTGGCGAGCTGGCCTCTGTAGGAAGGCTGTCGAGATACCTCTTGAGCCCTGGCATGGCCTTATCAATTGTTTGCTCGGCTCTCTTCTTTGCTCTGGCGATTCTCCCCATCGCGCTGCGAGAGCCGTCGGCGGGCATTTCGTCCGGATTAGTTTGTCTCCTTTTCTTCTGCGACAGTCCGCCGACTCGAACGAGCCAGTTCCTGGTCGTAGATCATCTCCTCCCGAGTCGCGGCATGTGCTCAGCAAAGGTATGGGATGAACCCCGCCCGACCGGCGCGGGACCCTATCGGAGCCCCGCGTTCCTCATATCCATTGAGCCCCACGTTGTGGACGGCGAGCTCCCTACTGCTGACAACAAACACCGGCAAGGCCTTCGATGTCCGTGTCGACGGTACGTACGCCACCGCCCTCTCCTCCGACACCCTCCAAGACGAGCTCCAGCGAAAGCTCGGCCTTTGGCTCTCCGCGGCGCTTCCCACCCTTCGGGTCGCGCTCGAGCGGGGCATGCCAGTCGATTTCTTCGGCGACTACCTTTACAACAAGGCCCACCACCGGCGGCCCCACGACGGCGTCCTCGCCGCCTGGGCGGACGCGATGCGCGCCCCGGCCAACGCGCCGGTCGTGCACGGCGACAAGGAGAAACCAGAGCTCACCCGGCAGTACAACGAGGGGTACAAGGTCGACCTCGCGGAACCCCATGCGGGACCGGGAGGATGCGATGACGTGAATGAAATCAAGCTCTGGACGCCCCTCCTCAAGACCTCCTCGCCGGGCGTTGGCAACGCCTCGAGTGGCGGCACGCCCGCCTCCGTTGGCCACTCCTACGCCTTCGGCAACACCGAAGAAAAGGCCCGCCGCCTAAACATGGGCTGCAAGGCGCGCGGGCAGCCCGGCCAACCCTTCGACCACAAGACCGGCCACGGCTACGTCAAGGCGCATCGCGGTTTCTACCACGACGCGATCTTTGTCAAGCGCAACAACTTCAACCTGCTGCTCCACGAGAGACGTTCGGCGGCGGCTTCTCGCCCACCGCCGTTCTCAAGCTGCGCCGCCTCGCGCGCAAAGTCGCGCGCGGCAGCGTTGACCGCACGGCCTACTCGCCCAAGTACTCGCTCTCTTTTATGTCCCACCATGCAGAGCGCATCTCTCTCTCTGTTGTGCGAGGCGTGAACCGCGCCATTCGCTCTCACCTGGCAACCCTGTCTGCACGTCTCGCGCGCGCGTGAACAGGGCTCCAGGCCCCAAATTACGTGTGAGTGTTAGAGTTGTTTGGTATTGCTAAAAATCTCTCACTGCTGATCACCCGAGCATGACGGGGATGCATGAATGGGGTGGGAAGAATTCTTTAAATGCAAGCCTCGTATGGGAAGAATTCTACGAATACAAGCCCCTCTCACAGCAGACTGGCACGAACTAGCACCACAAAAGGCACAGCAGACAACGGCCCCTTATGGGCCGTCGAAGAGGCCGTCATACCGCTATGGGAAGTTGGGAAGAAACGAGTTGCGACCGCAGTGGTGTCGGTGCGGGCGCGCAGCCGCGCCATTCCAGTCCCGTGCCCAGTGTCCGAATGCAGTTCTACGTCGTCGACGAGGAGGGCGCGGAGCAGGGCCCGTACTCGGAGGAGCAGGTCCACGCGATGATCCACGACGGGCTTGTGAGCCACGACGTTCTCGCGCGACTCGCCTCTGGCGCGATGCGCTTCCAGCGGCTGGGCGCGCTGCTCAAGCGGCAAGCGGACGCGGCTGGGACGCGCGTCGACAGCCATGCGGCGCGCGCTGCTGCGGAGCGTGCCGCGGAGGAGGACGAGGTCCTGCCGGGCGGCGTGAGCGCGGCGGAGGTCGAGTGGTTTTACCAAGACGACGTCGGCGAGGAGAGAGGCCCTCTTTCGACGGCGCAGATTCGCTCGCTCGTGCGGCAGGGGCTGCTCGGGCCGGTGCGGCTCGTGCGGCGCGGCCGACGCGGCGCCTTCCTCGACCTTGGCTCGTGGCCAGAGATCGCCGAGGAGGCCGAACTGGCCCGCCGCCGGCCGAAGCGGCCTGCGGCGGCTGCGGGCGCGGAGGCGGAGGCCACGCGCGGCGGCGGCGGCGGCGGCGGCGGCGGCGGCGGCGGCGGAGAGGGTGGGGCGGGCGCGGGGGAGTCGCCGCGTGAGGGGGGCGAGGAGGGCAACGAGGAGTTGGCGCCGCCCGAGTTCGAGGATGAGGACGGGCTAGAGTGGGTGTACGAGGACGACCGCGGCGGCGTGCAGGGCCCTTTCAGCACGTCCGAGCTGCAAGGCTGGATCCGCGAGGGGTACTTGCAGCCGACGCGGCGCGGCGGGCCCGCTGGCACAGACGCCGCCGAGATGCAGCCGCTCGGACGGTACGCGGAGTTCCTCAGCGTCGTGCCGGAGGACTGGGAGGAGGACCTGGTCGCTCCTCCGCCGCCGAGCAAGGGGAGCGAGGCGTCGCTCAGCCGAGAGGAGGAGGAGGCGCTGCGTAGGGCGAAGGCGGAGGCGGCGGCGGAGGCGGCGGCGGAGGCGGCGGAGGCGGCGGCGGAGGCGGAGGCGGCGGAGGCGGCAGAGGCGGCGGAGGGGAAGGCAACGGCGGAGGCGGTGGAGGTGGAGGCAGGAGATGCCAAAGCAAGCGCAGCACCGGCGGAGCTGGAGGCGGCGGCGGGAGGGGCTGAGGTGGCGGCTGCCGCGGTCATGCCCGAGGCCTCCGGCGATGCGCCCGCCGCCGCCATTGCAGCCGCCGCCGCCGCCGCCGCCGCCGCCTCCGCCGCAGCAGCCGCAACAACAGCAGCGGCAACAGCGGCAGCAGCAACTTCGGCTGCCGTGCCCACATCTGTGCCCGCGTCGGCCGCTGCCTCGGCGGCGGAGGCGGCGGAGGCGGCGGCGGCGGCGGAGGCGGCGGCGGCAGCGGCGGCGCTGCCCCCTGCTGAAGCCTTGCGCAGGGCTCGGCAGCAGGTGCAGCGCAACCTGCGCGCCAACCAGCCGCTGCCCCTCGCTGCGGCCGACGCGCTCCTCCCCGCGGCCACGCCGCCAAGTGCCGCCCCGGCGGCCGCGGCGGCCGACACGGCTAGTTCGGCGCCGCCCGCCGCCGGCAGAGGTGCGCGGGAGGGGGACGGGCCGAGCTGGGTGTACCTCGACGACGGCGGCGGCGAGCAAGGGCCGTACACGACCGCGAAGCTCCGCTCGTGGCTCTCGCGAGGCTTGCTCGAGGCGAGCCGGCCAGTCTTCCGGCTGCCGCACGGCGCACCGCGCGACAAGGCGGAGAGGCGGCCGATGGAGCAGTGGCCAGAGCTGGCGCCGTACGTCGTGAGGGATGATGACGCGCCGCCGCTTCCCGCGCCGCTTCCCGCGCCGCTTCCCGCGCCGCCGCCCGCGCCGCCGCCGCCGGGTGGCGACACGGCGGCAGCGGCGGCGGGAGAGGCGGCGGGGGCGGGCGGCGGGGGGGAGGAGCCGCGAGGTGGCCTGAGCGCGCACGAGGCGTCGTCGCTGTCGCAGTCTTGCGAGAGACCAGGCGTCCGCGCGGCCGACCGCAGCAAGCTGTGACTAGGCGTCATCGCTGTGGGAGTACTGGGACGACCGCGGGCGCGTGCAGGGCCCCTTCTCCGCGGAGAAGCTGCTCGGCTGGCTCAAGGCGGGCCACATCAAGGCGTCGCGCATGGTCCGCCGCTCGGTCCTCCTCTCGGACCCAAACGAGGCAGCCGCACACGCGCACGCACGCACACACACACGCACACACGCACGCACGCACACACATGCACGCACGCACGCACACACACACACACGCTCACACACGCTCACACGCTCACACACACACACACACACGCACACACACACACACACACACACACACACACACACACACACACACACACACACACTCACACACACACACACACACACACACACAGGCTCGAGAAGCTGGCTCGAGTCGTGTCGAGAAGCTGGCCTTCTCTTCCCTCAGGCCGCCGCGGCACACGCCGGTGGTTCCTTCACGCCACTCCGCGAGACGGAGCCCTTCGCGGCGGCGCTCGCCGCGCCGCGCGCCCTCCCCGCGCCGCCGCCGGTGCTCCCGTCGCTCGACAGAGGCGGCGAGGTGCCGATGTGGCTCTACGTGGACGTGACGGGCGCCGAGCAGGGCACGCTTCACCCTAGAAGCGAGAGTAGGGGAGATGCGGGCGAGATGTGGGGAGATACGGGCGCCGAGCAGGGCACGCTTCACCCTAGAAGCGAGAGTAGGGGAGATGCGGGCGAGATGTGGGGAGATACGGGCGCCGAGCAGGGCACCGCTCACCCTAGAAGCGGACGTATTCGTGTGCTCCAGCCAGCGCTCGAGAGGACACGGACTCGGCTGTTTTCGACCGTCTTCCGCTGCATTCCCTGTGCTCGCACCCCCTCGTACTCACGCGCGCGCTCTAGACACTCTGCACATGACCACATCCCCGCCCCGAGGCTGGCGTACCCACACTGCAGGCCCGTTCACGGCCGCGGCGATGCAGCGGTGGCGCGCGGCGGCGATGCTTCCGCCAGAGACGAAGGTGCGCCACGTCTCTGAGGCGAAGGAGGCGGCGCGGCCGATCAGCAGCGTGCCGCTGCTCGGCGCGCGGCGGCCCCTAGTAGGCCCTAGTAGTCCCAGTCCCTGTAGTGCCCAGTAGGTCCCTAGTAGTGCCCAAGCAGAGCCCTGGTCACCGGCGGGGCGTGTGGTCTGGACGTAGGCGGCGGCGGCGCGGCGGCCGCCGACGGCGGTGCCGGTGCGGCGGGGGGCACAGCGCCGCTGCAGCGGCCGGCGTTTGAGGAGTACTCGGTGGAGGGGCACTTCAACGGCGCGACGGGCCGGTTCGAGGCGGCGCACCGCGCGGGGGACAACTACTGGGACTTCAAGGGCCTCGCGCGGACCGGGGGCGAGCGGATGATGGCGCACTACTTTGACCACGACAAGTGGCAGGAGGAGGCGGCGGAGCGCAAGCGCAAGGCAGAGGCGCAGGCGGGGGGGAGGCGCAAGAAGAGCAACAAGGTCTTCAAGGACGGGCGGTACGTGTAAGGCAGCCCACGGAGTGAGGGCGCGGTGCAGAACACTGAACAACCCACAGAGACGTTTGCGCGACACATGCACACTTTAGAGTGTTTGTATGTGTGTAAGTGACTGACATGCCTTGTTCAACACCCCGTTTACGGTTCAACACCCCGTTTACATGCAGCGCCGCCGAAGCGCAAACAGCCACCACCGACGCGAGACGGAACCGGTTAGAGCGCAGAGGCCAGAGCGGCGCGCGCGCACGCACCCGCGGGGCGCGGTCCGCGGAATGTAATAAAAATGGCGCCGGTGCAGAGAATGCTTCCGCAGTATGCCTTCCTGGGCGTCATTGAGAATTCAGCGGCACTACTCCCAAAGATGCTTGCGGTGCTCGTTGCGAATGCAAGCAACGCATCGTACTTTGGATCGAGTGCCCTAAGGCTTTCGCACCGCAGACGAACACCGGCTGCGTACAAAGAGCACCTCTCCCCCATGGCTAAGGCGGTTCTGAAGCACGAACTTGCCTGCGATAAGCAGTTGGGATGCTGTCGCTGAGAGTTATTAGGTTCACTCTTGGGGCGTCCATTGAGATCTCAACAACACAAACTCATCTAGTAAATAAATAAAAAACGTTGGATAAAAAGGAACAGGTCCCCGCCCGCCGCCCGTGCGATCTTTGTACAGGAGCGCAAGGTGAGCGCAGGTTTCTTTTATTTTCTTCTCGCCTGCGAGGGAGTTTGGTTGTAAAATTCTTCTCGCCATCACAGCTCACTTATTGCCTGGCCCTTGCCGACCATCCCGTCTCACTTTCACTTCGCCCTTGCGCATCATCTCCGATGCGTGGCGGCGCCATGCTCCTGCTCCTCCACTGCGCGCGAGCTGCGGCAGTTGTCAGTTGCGCGCGAGCAGCACCGGGTGCCGGAGAGAGGCCTCACGTCGTCATGCTTCTCACGGATGACGTCGGCCACAACAACGTCGGCTTTTCCGCTCGGCATGCTGCCGCCACAATCCCAGGCACGTACGACTCCTTTGAAGGTACCTGGACCAACTACACTCCCCATCTCGACACTCTCGCTCGCTCGGGGGTGCTCCTCGAACGCCACTACGCCTACTTCACCTGTACGCCGTCGCGGCAGTCCATTCTGAGTGGGCGGCTGCCGACGCAGATGGGCGTGCTGCTGGGAGACCTCGACACCTGGGACGGAGGGACGAACGCATCGTGGGGCTATGAGGGCTTGCCCTTGAACGTCACCACAGTTGGGCACAAGCTCAAGGCGGCTGGTTACAAGACACACTTGGTCGGCAAGGCCGACGGCCTCGGCGTGGCAACGCAGTCCCACGCTGCAACATCTCGTGGTTTTGACACCTTCTTCGGCTTCTACTCGCATTCAAATGGGGCTTACAAGTTTGACACGCCGCGAGACACGGCCGGCCCAGGCCACCCACTGTGCCCGGACGACTGGGGTCCAAAGGCACCGTACGCGATCGACCTGTTCAACGGCTCGAGCAGCGACACTGCATCTGGCCAGCAAGCGTACTGGGCATACGAACGGTACCTCGCGATTTACGACGACTACCCCGATGGGGACCGGCCAAGGGAGGACTTCTTCTCGGACCCCGACCAGAGCGGCTATGAGGAGGTTCTCTTCATGGATCGCGCCGTGGAAATCATCGAGCAGCACGACGCTCTCACGCCGCTCGCACTGTTTTTTTGGAGCCGCGCCGCGCACACTCATCTCGAGCTTCCAGATGAGACCTTCGACTCCGTTGCAGCGGCCTGGTGCGACCACAACCCGGGTTGCAAGGATAAAGACGGCACCTGCATGATCAACCGCAAGCTCGGTCAGACCCTCCTGCATGGCCTTCGGTACGGCCAATGTGCATTGCCAGAGCGGATCGCGCACCTGGGGATGGTGCACATATTCGACGAGCAGGTTGGCCGCCTCGTATCGGCGCTCGGGCAGAAAGGCATGTGGCAGGACACACTGATCATCTACACCAACGACAACGGTGGCGCGATAGGCACGACTGCGGGTGCCAATAACTATCCGCTCCGGGGTGGCAAAGGCGGCGACTTTGATGGAGGCTTCCGCGTGCCAGCCTTTATCTCAGGCGGCTTTGTGCAGCGGACTGTTCTGAGGAAGGGGGCGGGGCGCGTCTCGAGCGTGGTGTCGCACGTCGCCGACTGGTACTCCACGCTCAGCTACCTCGCAGGCGTCGACCCGACGGATGACTCCGTTGGCGTGCAGCCCGTGAGCTCGGTCAACCTCTGGCCTTCCATCGCCTTCCCGACATCGTGCCCGGAGGCGCGATGGGAGCTCCAGCTGTCAACGCAGGCACTACTGGCGCGCAAAGGCGGTGAAGACGATCCAGCCTGGTACAAGCTGATCAGTGGCATGACGTCTTTCGACATGCACATGGGTCCCGAATACCCAAACGCTTCCTGTCCCATTGGGATCGGGGGCAACAGAAGTTCGTGGTTCCCACCGGACTGCCGCCCATGGAACCCCGCCCCCTTTGGGGGAAGGGGTACGTTGCCAAAGGACTGCTCGGAGGGAACAAAGTTGGGGTGCCTCTTCCGCATTTCGGACGATCCGACTGAGCACCGCGACCTGAACGATCCAGGAGCCGGCGGGGACGTGGAGGCGGCCATCAGCGTCGGGATGCGCCGCCGGCTCGACGAGCTCAACAGGGGCTACTTTGAGCCCTGGCGTGGCTGCCACCGCTCCGAGTACTGCAATGCCACCGTCAACTTCTGGAGCAAGGCGGTCGACTTCCCCTTCTCTGGCCCGTTCATCGACGTGGCCGAGTGTAAAGAGTGCGCGAGCACCAGCGCCCACCGGCACCGGACTTGGAACGAGTGCCAGTGTGAGGAGACGATATGGTCCTGCCTTCGCGACAACTTCATGGACGGAAAGCTGTGCCGTTGGGTCGACGGTGGCTGCACGCTCTCAAAGGAGGCAGCCCGCTTCACCTACCCGGAGCGCTTGCTCGCGGAGAGGGACATGCTGCCAGACGCGGAGCACAACTACTTTTACAGGCGCAAGATCCGGGAGGCCGCGGTATGAAAAGGGTTAAGATTGAGAGAGAGAGAGAAGGGGGGGGAGGGAGGGAGAGAGAGAGAGAGAGAGAGGCGTCTTTCTGTGACCCACCCACCTCTCTCCCTTGTGTTTTGTCTGGGGAGGGGTTTCTCGATTCTCCTGCGTACCCGTTCTACCAGAGAATGATCGGCGATCATAATGCGGCGTGCGGCGGCACGTAACCGGTAACGGCCGCCCGCCCGCGCCCCGGCACCGCGGGCGCGGGGAGTTGTTGAGGGCAGGCACATGCGACTACGTGTTCGTGTAGTTCTGTGACGTAACGTGTGCAACATGGTCTACAACACACTCGCACATACCTTTCACGTGGGCGGCGATCTGGTGGCGGACGGCCGGCGTGATTGCGTAAAGTAGGTTCTGATGGCTTGGGCGAAGTCCCCCGAGAGGCGGCGGACGCCCACCGTCGGGCGGACAGAGCCGGTGAGGGCGGGCATGAGCACCGCGCGCAGCATGCGCTCAAAGGCCAAGTGGCTGCCGCAGCCGGAGGCGATCACCTCGAGCAGATGGTCGCGCTCGGCGTGGTCGAAGCACGTGGCGTCGCGCAGCGCGAAAGCCTTGACCTTCTCGATCACCTCGGCCTTCGCGCCGCGCCCCCCCTGATCTGCCTCGAGACCCGCCGTGTCCTCCGCGCCTGCCGCCGGGACGCCGCGCCCGATGGGCAGCACGACGAGGGCGGAGTGGTCGGCTCCCATGCGCGTGAAGGTCAGGAGCTCGAGCAGAGTCCACAGCCGGTCGAGGTACGTCGGGCCGAGGAGGCACACAAGACGTGCACAGCCGGCGAGGTTGACGGGAAGCGAGGCGAGGCCCTGCGAGAGGTTGCCCTGGTTGAGCGAGAACTTGTCCACCCACAGCAGCGGCGTGCGGCCGAATCTGGCCGTGAAGGCTTCGGCCCACGTGCGCAGAGCGCAGAACTTGGCGTCGCCGTCGTCGGACCACGAGTGCGAGACGAAGGCATCGCACTCCCCGAGCGCCACGCGCCTCGTGCGCGCCCCCCTGCGCGCCGTCGCTGGTCCTCCGTGGGTCTGGCTGCTGGCAAAGTCGTCCGCGCGAAGCTCGGAGAAGTCGACGACGCGAAAGTTCAGGCTCGCCGACTGGAGCGCGGCCTCGGCAGTGATGCCGCCGGTCATGCTGGCCACCATAGCTGCAGCGCGCGACTGGTCGTCGAAGTGGAGGTGCTCGAAGAGGAGGGCGTGCATCCGCCGCCGGCTCGACGGGCGGAAGGCGAGCAGGAGGAGCAGCGCGCACGAGCCGGCGAAGAGGTTGGCCGCGGCGCCGAGATAGTCGACGCCCTCGACGAGCGCCACCACGCCCAGCGGCAAGGTGTTGGCTGCAAACAAGAGACAAATCAGCCGCGCCGCCGCCCAAAGGCGACGCAGTCGGACACTAGGCTGCATCGCCCACGTGCCGTCGCGCCTGCGCACCGCGGGCAGCACCAAGGCGGAGCAGGTGATACCCGTGACCGCGTACGCGACAGTTGAGTAAACTTGCATGGCACAGCCATCAGCAGTCGCTGATGTGTAATCCGCAGCGCAGACAACGGATAGCGGAGGGTCCAGGGTGTAGGTGAAGGCGAAGGCGCCAAGCGGTGCCGAGATCGCCATAATGCCAGCGACGACGATCTGGCTCTTTTGGTACGAGGGCAGTAAACCAAGGAGCGCAATGAGGATGCCGCTCAGCCAAAAGGGCTGAGCAAAATTGGCGGCTTTGTACGGCACGCCGATCAGACCGCCGGAGATGAGGACGATGTCGAAGACAATCGCCACAAAAAAGAGGGCGAGTCCGGCGAAAAAGAAGGAGAGGCTGGCGCGCGCCTGCACCTTCGCTCCCTCCTTTCGCGCCTGGTTCAAGTTTTGTGCGAGCCGGAGGAATCTTGTGTCGGACTCGGAGCGCTCCAGCGTGGGAGGAGCGATCATGCCATCGTTTGGCGTCTCGGAGCCGAATTGCACTAAGCGGCTGCTAGGCGTCTCGGAGCCGAATTGATAAGTGGCGGCCTCACTGGCGGCGGCTCTGGCTGAGTGAGGTTGAGCCGCTTTGCGGCGGCGCGCGATCGGTTTTTCTCTCTAACACAGGTGTATATTATTTTTGCTTGGGCGGACAGCATGATGAAATTCTGGAAAAACCTGACCGGCCCCTGCCCTGCCCCTACCTACCTACCTACCTACCTACCCTACTTATGGGAAACTAAAAAAGAAATCACTGGCGGGGTGAAGGTGGGGTACTATACAAACTAGAGTGATGGTTGGTGGTACTCTCCTGCATCCACAGTCCTTCTTGTGACATGGGAGGCCACTCTCAAGCCGTACAAGCATCAGATCACCCATTTGGGGAGGGTTGACATCGTGATTTCCGCGGAAAATTTCTTTTTCTGCTGTGAAAATTCCGGCGTGAGGAGAGGGAAAACCCCGACGGGAGGGCCCAGACCTACCCTACCTACCCCGTCATGCTGTCCGCCCAAGCAAAAATAAAATACACCTGTCTAACACAGATTTTTGAAAGGAAGAATTTAAACAAAACAACTCTGAAAGGAAGAATTTCAGATTACCCGGAATCTGAAAATGTTTTTTTCAGATTACTCGGCGAGCACAGATTACTCGGAATCGAACAAAATTTTAGGATTGTAGATTACTCGGTCGAACAAATATTTCCTCACAGATTACTAGATCGATGGCGAGGCCTCGGCATCGGCCGTACCGCGTGCTCCTAAGCAGTACATGTGCCGCAAATGTGGCCAGCCGCGAAGGGGGTGCGGGTGCAAGAATGCAGCGTATGCAGGAGGGCGGCGTGCACCTGCCATACCAGCCGGCGGCGAGTAGTAGTATGTGCTGATACCTGTGTACAGAACATCAGGTCGCATGTCGTCAACGTGTAGTGTTTGTTTTGTTGTATCGACTGCGTTTCAACTCCCGTCAGCCGTCGGTCGCGCGCATCCGCATGTAGCGAGATGGGAAAGCGGGTGTAGACGCGGCGTTGGTGCACAGGGCGGCGAGACGTTGACTAATTTTTAGCAATACCAAACAACTCTAACACTCACACGTAATTTGGGGCCTGGAGCCCTGTTCACGCGCTGTTTGAGACGTTGTGACAGCAGCGTTTCGTGCGAAGGGCGAGGAGTCCGTGTAGTGGTTGCGCACGTTGGAGGGGGGCGTTCGGCGGCGGCTTTTCCACAGCCAGATGTTTACTCGGGCGACGGAAAATGTCTAACTACTCGGTTTTTTCAGTTTACTCCGGCTGGCCCCGAGTAAACTGCGACGGAAAGAAATGTGAATGTGGTCCCCTCTGTTTTTTTCAGTTTACTCGGGGCCCCGACGCCCCGAGTAAACTGCGACGGAAAAAATGTCGAAATGTCGTCCCGAGTAATCTAGAAGCGCACCCAGCGGGCCGGATGATCGGGATCGGGTTGCGGGCAAGAAAGCCCTAGCCCCGGGGGTGCGCGTTCGCAGGGCAAGGGCCTTAAAGTAAACACGGGTCTCCGAGGGTTAGCCCCGCGTACCGGGTTTCCCCTTAACTGCAGGACGCCCCCTCCACTCGGAGAGAAAAGGATTTTGTGTTTTTGTTTAGATCGTCGAGAAACATGTGAAGTCTGAAGAAGTCAGGCTCGGACTGGACACCAACGCGGTATGGGTGGACGCGAGACAGATGACGACGACACGCTCGAGCGAAACTCACAAGCACCGGCGTGAAGAAGAAAACCCCGAGCCAGGGGGTTATGCAATGATATCGCAAAACAGCAGGCAAGAACACGGCGAGCTCTCAAGAGCACGGCCATCAGAAGGCATCGCCGCCCATCGCGGCACGCCCCGCTCTCCGCCCAGCCGCGTGCACTCGCCCACCGCACCGGGCGAGCTCCCACTCCGACCCCCCAAATCAAACCCCGCCGCCCCATCACCGACGCCTCACCGACGCTCGCGCGGCCGCGCCCCCCCGTCCCAAGTTTGGCAAGCCTCCAAACCGCCGGGCAAGCCTAACGCGTCTTCGCCTACAGCCGCCTCGACCCCGCCTCCAGCCCCCTCGCCCCCGTTGCCGCCCCCGCCCCCGCCGCTGCTCGAGACACTATTCTCACTCCCCCGCCGCCCCGCCCCGCGCAGATTCCTCCGATGATGTACCGCGTCCTCCTCGCGCTCCTCGCCGGCAAGGCGGCGGGATTCTCCTCGATGCCCGACCCCGGCTGCACGGCGCTGGGCCCCCAGACGGATGCTTTCCCCGGCATCGGTGTGCATTTTTCGCCCGCCGGTGTGCTGCACGGACCCCCGCAGCTGCTGGATGGCGCGCATGCCTAAGAGGGGGCTCGCGTTCCTGATCCATAGGCCAAGAATCGTGGGCCGGAAATTTCGGACCAGACACGCCTTGCGGCCCCTACTGCACCGCCGAGTTCACCATGAACACCATCACCACCGCCGCGCCTGGAAGTGGCGTCACCGACGTAGACCTCTTCATGTCGCTCGCTCACAACCCCGTCCTCGCAGCCATCGCCGAAGCCTTCAATCTCACTGCCGGCATCACCTACACTACCGGTTGCGCGAGTGGACCAGGGGACGGACCAGCAGGCGGCTTCCCGGGGGCGCTTTGCGGCGGCGTCGGCGCCGACCGCTACGGCTGGTGGAGCGAGATTTGCCGCGAGGCGGTGGGCTGTGCGGCTTGCCACGAGTGCTGTGCGCCTTCGCCCCCCCTCCCCCCTCCCCCCCAGTGCCCGCGCTTCTGCAGCGCCCGCGCGCGCACGCACAAGCGCACACGCGCCTCTCAACCCCCCTCCCCTCTCCGTCGCAGTCTTCCCGGATGGCTACCCGTCGGAGTGCATGCAGACCCGCGGCGGCGATCCGTACACGAATTTCACGCCGCGCGCAATCTTTGACTACATGCCCACGTTGGAAGCCTCCGAGGCCTGGATTGACCAAACCGGCTTTGGGGCCTGCAGTGAGGCTTGCGCCGAGCGACCGGGCGAGATGATCACCGTCTACGGACCAGGCCCCTGCCCTGAGGGAGTCTCGCCCTACCTCTGCTACTCCGAGAACCCGTGGATTGGGGCCTCGTTCCCCAACACGACCTCGTTCCCCACTGAGATCCTCGCGTGCTCCGACGATTACGCGGGCGCCATCCTCGGCTGGGGCGACGGCAACATCGATCACTACGGTGCGACTCCTCCTCCTCCCCCTCCGTCCCTGCCCACACTCACAGACTCCTCTTGTTCCGCCTAGGCTGGGGCGACCCCGAAGGAGTCGCCGCCGTCGGTTGCCAGCCATGCTCCGACTGCTGTGCGCCTCGCCCCCCCCCCCCCCCCAAAACCCTGTGCATTTGGACTAAAACCCACCTCACACCACCTTTTCCTCCTGTGCCGCAGTCTTCCCGCAGGGGTACCCAACCCGGGGCAACGCCACGGCCGGGGAGCCGCCCATGATTCCCTACGGACCCGGCTACGACTCCTGGCCCTTCAAGGGCGCGGCGTGGTCGGGCCCGGCTGGGTACACCGAGTGGTGCAGCCCGTTCTCGAACCAGTTCAAGCCGTGCGACGGAAGCTCGCCGCCGGAACCCCCCGACATCGAGGTTTCTGGGGGGGGGCGCCGCAAGCTGGCGGAAACCAAGACCGGCCCCAAGATGAGCGACCAGCTCGCCGCCACGGCCGCCAAGTTCAGCGCCATCTTCGGCAACGGCAAGAAGTGAGCGATGGTCGCTAGGCCAGCCACTCCTGGCTGTGGACCGGGAGGCGTCCGCGGGGCGTTCCTGAGGTCTTTTTGGCCCTCCTCACCTGCACACTGCCTGCACACTTGGGCCCCTTTGCTGCCCCCCTCCCGGTTTTAGCCCCCCCCCCCCCCCCTCTTATGTTGCGAGGAGGCCGATAAGGCCGAGATGTGGTGCCCGCAAGGCCTGCGTGAGATTGCTTCTTTCTCCCCGCGGGTGGGGAACCCACGCCACGCCCTCGCCGCCTTCGTCTCTCGCCCCCTGCGCTCAGCAAGCAAGCGGCCCGGCGCGCCCCCAACGTACTGAGGAAGACACCAAGCCTCTCGGTGTGGCGGAGCGCGGCGCGTTGAGTTGATTGTGACGCTGTGGCTAGTTCCAATTTTTACCCTGAGTTCCCTGACGACCCACGCTATCGCTAATCTTGTTCTTGAAAACGTTCAACGGAGCTCCGTGTTGCTCCCAACTCCCAAGCGCCCTCCCGCTCCCCCGGCCCCGCGCTCCCAGGCGAGGTGGAGCTGGACCCTGGTCCCTGGACCCTGCGCGCTGCGGCCACATCCCACATGGCCGATGATCCTACTTCACCTAGTATTATGAGAGGACAGAGGTCATCTGGCTACCGCGAGAGCGACCCAACTCGTCGACATCGTCCGATGATGGTGCCTCAAAGTCAGATCACAGATGGAACGGTGTCCGGAGGCTGTCTGTACGACTTTAGGCTCTACGTACGGCTTTAGTAGCCGGCGGTGGCCGTGACATGTGGTTCCACCACCCCTCATAGGCCTCTAGCCTCTGATCGCCACCGTTCCCAGGCTGCCTAATGGGATGGAAAGGAAGGCTGGGCGAGCGTATAGAAGCGTGCTCGACCTTGTCGACGTGGCAGCCTGCACGGCAGCGCTGGCGGGCGCGATGAGCGTCGTGCCACCTGACCCGACGGGTGCAGGCGTCGTACCGAGCGCGACGAGACCGTGTCCTGATGTGCTCTGCACGGGTGAGTCACGTCGGCGTCAAAGGAGCGACGTGCGCCCTGTCAGAGCTTGATCTCCGATCTCAGGCTAGTGCCATTTCACTCTGACACGCTAATCTTGAAAACGTCTCCAACGGAGCTCCGTGTTGCTTCCAGCGCCCTCCCCCGCGCTCCCTGCGGCCATGGCCGATGCTCCTAGTATGAGAGGTCATCTGGCTACCGCGAGAGCGACCCAACTCGTCGACATCGTCCGATGATGGTGCCGCAAAGTCAGCCTTCGGAGGCTATCGTGGGGTCGAGCCGGCAGTAGCCGTGACATGTGGTTCCACCACCCCTCGTAGGCTTTGCCTCTGACCGCCACCATTCCCAGGCTGCCTAATGGGATGGAAAGGAAGGCTCGGCGAGCGTATGAAGCGTTCTCGACCTCGTCGTGGCAACCTGCACGGCAGCGCTGGCGGGCGCGATGAGCGTCGTGCCACCTGGAGCCGAGACGGGTCGCAGGCGTCGTACCGAGCGCGTCGAGACCGTGTCCTGATGTGCTCTG